GTCAAATGAGAATGTTTTGCAAAAAATTGTGGTGATTGGAGCTTGGGGACAAAAAAACCCCAATTTTCGGGCCCACCCAGCCCTTAACCTGGGAGCAAAAAGTTGATAAAATAGTTTTTTTAGCATTTTTATCTAAGTTTATAATCATCAACAAATTTCAAATTTCATCCAATAATTTTTCGAAAAATATGACTATATAAAATTTTAATCCCCCTCAATTTGAGGGGGCTGTAAACTTTGTAGGGTCATAAAAACTAAAACACTGTGTAAGTGTCAAAACTCAAACATCTAAAAATCCAGTGTACACCAATGTATATATATATATATATATATATATACACATATATATATATATATATATATATATATATATATATATATATATATATATTTATATATATATATATATATATATATATATATTAGGGTTCGGAACTTATGCGCATGTCGACAAATATATGTGCATACCATTTTAACCAAAAGTTATGCTTTTTTATAAATATATCAAGTACTACAAGTTTTTTTTAACAAAATTACTTTCAATAAAGCTGTAGGCAACCTATATTTAATTTCGAAAGCACAAGAAGAAGGACTTAAAGAGCAAGAAAACAATTGACAGAAGACTTAAATCGTAAATTGTGATAGTCAGGAAAAGTCAGGAGAGAATTCCAAAGCACTGATGTTTAAAGGGATCCCAAACTCCCGACACATGTTGTGTTCATATTAAAGATAATGTTAAAAAAAAAGGTTTGAACCAAATTTTTTTGATTAAAAATAAATAATGAATGCATACCGTGAAAAACAAATGTTGTTGTTTTTGCCGAAGCTCGTCTTCTCCATTTTTTTGAACTAATCGGAGTCTTTAAATTATGTGTCGCAATCTACAGACTTTGGCAATTCCTTTGAAGCGCGTTTAATTCATAAAAGTTTTAGTATTTGACGTCACGGTAGACTTTTAACAAAAGAAAAGTGTAATTAAACTAAGCTGCGTTTTTCTACTGTAGTATTTTTTTAACATACAGCAAAACAAATTTATTTGTATTATTTTTCCAAACATCGCAAAAAAAATTTTGTAAAAAGTAAAAACAATAAATTATTTTTATTTTATAGGAGCAACTTATTTTTTACAGATACTTTTTACAGATACAGATTTTTACAGATCTTAATAATTTTTAGATTTATATATCTTACTTATATTTCTTTAATTATTTTAATTAAAACAAATATTAAAGCTTTACTTACCAATCTCATGATTTTCATACGAGTATTTTACTTTATATAGAACGTTTTATATTACGGTCTCTTGTTTTTGCGCAAGAGAGCGCAGTATTATATATTCTGATTCTTAATTATTTTTATTTAAACAAAGGGAACTATTTTCTAACTTCTCTGGTTATTTTTACGCTATGACAATTTTTTGTTTTCCCGTCGAAAAAAAAGTATTTATTAACAATTACTTTCATAAACTGACAGTATTAATTAGAGATATTTAATGAATTGTTAACTTTTTTTATTATAAAATTTTTTTGATCACGCTGATTTAATTTAAATTGCTAAATTTGCTGAATTGGATACGGATAAAAAGGAAATGCCATTTTATTTTACATTTGATTTTTGATAATGAAATTTTTAAAGTGTCAGCAACTCTATACCAATTAGAACCTGTTAAGATTATGAAAAAAAAGTGCAAGAATACACTAAACAATACAGTTGACAGTAGTATCAGATATGAAAATTCGTGAAAGGATTTGTGAGATCCTGATTTTGCGTTAAAAGTACAATTAATTGCAACACAAGTCGGCATTAAAAATTTTGATTATAAGTTTACTGTTCAATATTTTATAACCATCAAATAAAAAACATAAAGTTTGTATATTTTTGCCCGTTTTATACAACTAATATTTAACAAAAATACGGACAAATTATTATTAAATAACGCAATAATTAACACATTAATTAAAGGCAATAATTCAAGATAGATGGTAATTTAAATTGTTAAAATGTCATAACGCGAATTAAAAAACATATTATATTAGGTATTTCCAAATTTGTGTCGTAATTGGCATTTGTCTCTTAACATAAAAAATTAAAAAATTTTAAAAACACAATTAACAAATACAAATTTTCAAGCAATTTTCTCTTCCAATTCTCACTTATTCAAAGAAAATTTACTATTAAACTTTTATTTCTCTCATCTAAAAAAAGAATGAGTGAAGCAAAAAAAATATATATTCTTTACAACTCTTACTCATTCAAAGTTTAATTGCGCGAAACATTTCTTTCTCTTTTGTTCTACTCTTTTATAAAAAGAGCGCCTGATGAAATAAAAACTTTTCTTTTTTAACATATAATTATAGTTTGAGATAAAATTAAATTAGAAATAAATCAACAATGAGCAAAGCAACGAACAGGTTAATCTGGAACTATTTTGATATTTATGAAAATAATCAACATAAACAACATTGCCAACAACAATTATCAAATAAACAACACAATCTCGCATAATTTTAGGGCATTTTATTATTATTGCTTAGTCGTTCTAAATAATAAGTAAATTTAGTTCAAGTTAATAATTCAATATTTACAGTTGCAATAGAATAAAGAAATGGTGTTTAATACTGAACTTTTTATTTAGTTATTTATTTTTTTACCTACATTTGTTATAAAAAACTTTAGAACCCCCGTCATTAAAATAATTTGTTTTAAATATATATTGATTTACGTGATTATTCAAACTAATTTTTTTCGTTTGACTTTCCGAACTTCATGCAAAGCAAATTGAAACGAAATATCGTCTAACCAAATAAAAAAGCTGTTACTAATTTTATACGGTTAATTAATGTAAAACAATTTTTGAGATAATAAATATTCATAATTTATAAACATTAAATATATGGCGCAATAACAATTTATAGCAACGAACCAGCATAAAAGGTTTTTAATATCTTTTTAAATATTAAAAAAAGAAAAAAAAAAAAACTAAACAAATAATCAAAAAAACTTCGACTAAAAATAAATAAAAATATTTCTAGAGTTTAATTTATTAAAAGTCTACCGTGACGTCAAATACTAAAACTTTTCTGAATTAAACGCGCTTCAAAGGAATTGCCAAAGTCTGTAGATTGCGACCCATAATTTGAAGACTCCGATTAGTTCAAAAAAATGGAGAAGACGAGCTTCGGCAAAAACAGCAACATTTGTTTTTCACGGTATGCATTCATTATTTATTTTTATTCAAAAAAATTTGGCTCAAACCTTTTTTTTTAACATTATCTTTAATATGAACACAACATGTGTTGGGAGTTTGGGATCCCTTTAAGGTAAAAAACTAGATAAATAAAATTTTTTTGAGCATGAAGGAACAGTTGCAGTAAAAGTATGCAATTTTGATGAATATGTTTTAGCATATAGAACAAGATATAATAGAAAAGCAACCATGCCTTTTTTAAAAAAAAAGAAGATTTTTTTGTAAGAAACCTTTTTTTTTCCTTAATCATACTTTTTAAATAAAATTTCACATTAGTGGTTGCATTATTTCTTCTGGAAATTTTTTTTGCAAACAAATATTTAAAATTGAAAAATTATAAATATTCACCTAATACTAACAATAGGCAGTTGTTTGATTTCATCTTCATCATCTTCTTCTTCATTATCATTATCATCATTGTCATCACCATCATCATCACAACCATCTTCTTGGTCTTCATCATTAACATGTTTGGAAGTTTGATTTTGTCTAAATAATTTTTAACAAGTTGGAAGTTTGATTTTGTCTAAATAATTTTTTTTTTCATAATATTTAAGCTGAAAAATCATTAGAGAAAAATAACGACAAGCATAATTAGTATATATATATATATATATATATATATATATATATATATGTATGTATCTTTAAAATGAATGAGGTTTCCGACAATTTCTCACAATATTATTTATTATTCTAGATTGCATATGCACCCAATCATAAATATTTAAAATGTTGTTAATAAAATATATAAAAGTTATTCTAATAACAAGATTATAAAACTGCAAGTGTGTGTTGAAGGCAAATACAAAAGATTTGTATGTGAAATAAAATAATTTAAATCATTATATATAATACTGTGCATATTAACTGTTTTCATTAAAAACCTACACACATTAAATTCTAGACCATGATAATAAAATATAATGCACATCTAACATAACTTTTTTTTAAGCAAGTTATTTTATAAACTCATGAAGTCTCACTGCATAAAATTTCAGTCAAGTACATGTAGAGTACATTAGTGTTAAAAGTATAATAGCCAGGCAACATTAATTCCTTTTTCATAAAATGCTTTGTACGCATAAGTTATTTATTCTTTAGGCTCTATATCTTTTAAGTTATGCCAAAAGTGAAGTATGCTAAAGCACAAGCTAAAAAGATTAGATATGAATATTTGTACATTTCTTGGTTAGCAAAAAAAAATTACAAACTATTGTAGTTTTTAAACGTTTTAATGCTAATTTTATTCATTTAAAAAAAATCAAAATCGAAAAACTTTTTGCACAACTGTGACTACACAACTTGATTTTTTGCAGCATTTGTGTGACTCCAGAACTTGAGTTGCACCCCTTTTCAATCTCAAAGCAATAAATTCCTACATCTTGATTCAATCAACTTAAAAATTATCTGTACAAAGTTTAACTAATTTTGATAACTGTTAGAAAAGCCATTTTGAAGAATGGAATGCTAATATATTGAATGGAGTTATAGTTTTGTCATAATTGTAGTAATAAAATACAATAGAAATAGAAATTTAAAATTAAAATCATAACCATACTCAGATAAATAACTATACATAGTGTATTATTGTAAAATATGTAACTGTGGAATTGTAAAATATGTAATGTTTTTATAAAATTCTTATTTACTAAAGATAAACTTTTTTTAAACTTTATCAAAAAGATATTTATAGAGTCCCATTTCTACTTTTAACACTAAAGATGATTAGTACAGGTTATAGTCTAGAATATAAAATATAGATAAGTATCTACAGCCATCAATAATTTAGGTAAGTAAAGTATTGATAAAATAATTTAAATAAAGTTTGGTATTGTTTTAATTTTTCTTAATAGAATACTTAAGTGTATTATAAGCAACTAAACCCTATAAATACTTCTCATTTATCTCATTTTTCATAAATAAATATTTAAAAAGTTTGAAAAACATGCAAGGAAATAATCATCAAAGTAAAAACTATTAAATTTAATTTTTTTAAATGTTTTTAATCAGAAGAATCATATATTTAATAATGAGTTTTGTTATATTATTAATTTAAATTAATTTTTTATTAAATTCTTTTCCTTTTTTTTTATTTCTTTAGTTTTACCTTAATTATGTCAAGATGGTAGGGTTGCCTCAATATAATAGAATTATCTTTCATTTTTAACTGCAAAGATAATGTATTACAAACGTATCTACTTTTTATTATTGTCATTTTATTTCTTTAGTTCTTGGTGTTTTTCAAAATCATTAGTTCACTTTGCCTACTGTTAATCATTTGCTATTAAATTTAAAAAAAAATTAATTTGTCACACTTAAGGTAACTTTGTCTTCTGGTCACATACAAAATTTGTTTGTATTGTTAATTATTTTATTTTTGCTAATTTATGTTTATTGTCTTTGCAATAAGTGTCTTTTCTTTTAGATTTTGATTATTTTTAACACAGCTCTAAAAAATAATAATAAAGTAAATAAAGTCAGATTCCATTTTTAAAAAATATAACAACAAAAAATATATACGACAACACCAACTACAGTGGACAAAACATTTGCAACCAACATCGAACAATGCTAAAAAGTGTTCTTAGTTTTACATGTCTTAAAAACGAACAAACTATACTACCACAACAAACAGTTCAGGAGTCTGGAGTCATAGCATGCCATGACACGAGCAATTAGCTGACAGGTGACAGCACACAGACAGAATTTTGTTGACAAGTGCCATTTTGCAGCGGACAAAACAAGTGTAACTTTTTTGGTTTGTTTCATTTTCTTAAGTCTGGTCCGTGTCAATGCACGAAGTTTTTTAATAATTAAAGGAAGTATCCAGAAATTTCTAGAAGCATGCAGAAGTTTCCAGAAGTTTCCATTTTTTATTTCTATAATTATTTTTATTATTATTATGACTTCAAGTGCAAAAATGGCTTCCGACAGTTTTAGATTGGAACTAAGAAATAAAATTATTAGCGATTACATAAGTAGATTATCACAAAAAAGTATTTGTAATAAATATTGCGTGAAAAAATGGACTGTATCAAGACTATGTTCCAAATACCGTTCTATGGGGAAGTTGGCAGCAGATAACAAAGGTGGAAGACCGCGTTCCACCACTTCTAAAGAGGATTCTATGATCGTCAGATCCGTCAAGAAGGATCCCTGGATATCATCAGTCGAGATACAAAAGCAACCAGAGCTGCCTGTATCAGACTGAACAATCAGACAATGTGCTGTTGAAGCCGGATTATTTTCTCGACACCCTGCAAAGAAACCGCTGATTTCAATAAAGAACCAGAAGAAAAGACTCCTATTTGCTACATCTCATTGACAGGAATGTCCAGAAATGGCAAACTGTCCTGTTCAGTGATGAATTGAAGTTTAACATCATTGGAAGCGATGGTATTTGCCGTGTACATCAACCGGCTAAAAAACACCTCAATTTACGTAACTGCCATAAGACCGTGAAGCATGGTGGAGGCAATGTAATGGTCAGGGGGTGTTTCTCTGCTAACGATCTAGGTCCAATAGATTGAATTGATGAAATAACGGACCGTTTCATGCATAAAAATATCCTGAAAAATGTTATATTACCTCATGCTGAATGGAATATGCCAATAAAATGGGTTTTTCATCAAGACAACGATTCGAAACACACTGCAAAAGAAGTCAAGCAGTGGTTTCAAGACAACCAACCTATGGGAGATCGTCAACCGCAGAATTAATCGTAAAGGCATTCGTAATAAGGATCAACTTTTGAACAAATCAAAGAGGCCTGGGCAACGATTCCACAAAGCTTCATTGATCATCTGATCGAATCTATGCCTCGAAGATGCAAGGTTGTGATCGAAAATATTGGATTCGCCACGAAATATTGATACCAAAATTCACCTTGGTCAACATTTTTTGGAGTTGCACTAGTTTTGTCCAGAAGGAAATCAACTTTTTTTAATACTTTTGATTAATTTATTAATTTGTGTGTACAAATAATAAACTTTGTGATGAATAAAACTTGAAGAGCGTTGTCTCTAAACAGTTAGATAATTATTTCTCTAAATTGAAAAAATGCAGCACTTTTTTATATAGAAACTAAATTAGCATTATTTGGTTGCACTTGTTTTGTCCGATACTGTATATCTGCAAAAATAAGTGTGAAACTCTTATTTAATAGGAGTGCAATAAAAATCTGAAAAATATATAGCAGATAATTAAGATGATTTTACAGCAGATGATTGCTATTTAATTATTTACTAGTAATAAGTTTTTATAACTTCATTAAAGTACATATTTATAACTTTTTAAGTTAAAAACTTACTTTTTAACTGTTACAGGTTTTTTTTTTATCTTTCTTCTCAGTGATTTATTATGTTCAGATTCGTTCTGCATTTCATTACTTGCAGAGAACAAAGGAACAGATATAGATTGCTTTTCATTTAGCACATTTTTTTTGTTTATTACAGGTGAAACTAAATTACTTCCATGAGTAGATTCCTTGAACATCAAAAAAACAATTTACATTTAATTCTGCAAACAAAAAGCTATAATGCAAAAATTATTACACAAATACAAAACTGTAATAAATTTACCATAATTTTTTCAGGTTCTATTTTTCTAGGTTGAATTTTACGGGGTGCCAATTTACTCTTGTATTTCCAGATGACACCAATACATAAGAATGTGATAAAAATTATAGGAACAATAACCACTGCTATAATCCAATATTTAACGACATAACTAGTTTTTACAATAGTAGATAAAAATGATTCAGGAGGAGAAATAACCTAAAATTTAAGTTCAAGAATTATGATCTTGATATCTATATAATAATAATAATAATAATAATAATAATAATAATAATAATAATAATAATAATAATAAGAAGAAGAAGAAGAAGAAGAAGAAGAAGAAGAAAAAGAAGAAGAAGAAGAAGAAGAAGAAGAAGAAGAAAAAGAGGTTATTAAGTCACCTGCATTTCCAGCAAAGCAGACATATCAGAAACAGAAATTTTATTCATTATAGCTACGGCTTCACTTGCTGTTTTTATAACTCCTTGATCTATAATAACAAAAATTGCCTGATGATTTCCATCATATAAATCATAAATACTACGAATGTCTGCAACTACACTGCCAGTTGCTCTTCTTAATCTGTTGCTTTGCTGGCCTTTCATATAAATTAGAGACAATTTCAATGATAGATCATACATATAAGCAGGGTTGCTAATATTTAAACTATTAGGTGTCTTTATAACAATCTTTATTATATCTGTTTGTTTCACTGCTCGAATTGCATGTACTACAAATGGTTTTTCCAATACCTTTAATTAATGAAACAGTTTAAATAAATTATTCTAGGATATAAATATTACTATTAAACATTATCTAATTTTATTTTATATGATTTCTTATGATCTTCCTACTAACTATTATAAAAATGATTATATTTCATTTGCAATTATTTTAAATCTTTATTGAGCATTACTGTTTTTCAATGCTATTATTGTCGTTGTTATTAACAATATTATTAGTAGTGTTATTATCATTATTAGTATTGTTATTATTATATTATTGCTATTGCTATCATATTAATTATCATTATGTAGTGAAAAATATAATTATAAAAACCTTTAAAGCTAACACTACATCGCATCACAATTTTCAATGGTTTTACTCTTCATTTTAACTGTATTTTTAAAATTTATATTTTTAATTTAATTTTTTCTGTTAAAAATATTAAAGTTTATTACTTGAAAGCATTCTAGTGAATTATATAAACTTTTTTTTTAATGTCTGTTATTGCACATTTTAAACGAACTTTAATAATCCATTTTCTTATTCAAATATAACATTGAAGGACTGAAGCAATTTTTTACAACCAAATGGTTTTCCTGTTGCTAACCTGTTTTGCAGGTCAATATTAAGTATTTTTATTGCAATATTACAGCTAAAAGGATTACAATCCAAGATTTATGAGCTTTTGCTGCCATTACCCACAATTAAATTAGAAGTTTTCCTTCTACTAGGTAATCTGTCTTCATAACAACTAAAGAGCCTTACCTGCCAATCAGTTTAACATCATGACCAGGACTCAAATTTCTTATTCAGTAGAAATAAATGGGACACCATGGCACTTTTATTGTCTGATTCGTCATGTATAACTTTTTAAGCTTATTTTTAAAATCCATTTTATAATTTTAGTCAACATTAAATTAACCTTCAATTATATCAATAAAAACTTTTTATTTAACATTTAACATAGATGAGTATTTAATTTTTTTTTTTTGAAAATCCCGGAAAATCCTGGAAAATTATTTTATTAAAAATTGATCATATTAACAGACAACAAAAACTTTCGTAAATATTAAACGGAATTTAGATTATTTAACTTTTTACAAAAAAGAATTTCTAATATTAGAAAAAGTTAATTTGAATGAATTAAAAAACAAAACAAAAAAAAGAAAAAAATTGTTACGAAAATTGATCTTGTGAAAATTTTAATTATAGAAAAACATCCGAAAATTTCTGGAAAAGTAAAGGACTTTTTAAGTGAAATTCCCGGATTCTAGGAATTCCTGGAAAAAACTCATCTATGATTTAATTACTATATTTTATTTTAATCATATAAATGATATAAAACTGCTCGATAAAATATGATTAAAAATTAAAAAAAAAAATGAATAATAATGAAAATTCTATAAATAATTTGATATAAAAGTATTTATTGTTGAATGATTATTTAATTCTTAACAACACAATACATATTGGTATATAGACTCATATTACCCAATTGATTATGTTGTAAAGTTCAATCAGACAATGCACAATTTGATCTTTAAACTACCAGGACCTAACTATAAGGCAATTTTTTATCCAGATAAGATTTTAAACAAGAACATACATAGAAATTTTATATAAAGATATTCTACAGAAAAACTAATAAATATTAATTAGACTCACATTACCCCCATAGACCCCATGAAGCCCCAAGCCTTTAACCCTATTTCTGCACTTATTTCCGCATTTTACATGTTGAAAATTTTTGCATTTTATTTATGCCTCAACTACAGCATTTTTAAAAAAATTATACTTTGAATTGCATGTCTAATTTAACTCAAGTAAAGTTTTTTTTATGACACTCAGTAAAATTGTAAATAGCAATGTAAAAAAAAGATTTTTTTTAAACTGCTATTTAAACCTTTTTAATGGTTTCTTTAAAATTATCACAATAAAACCTTCATAACTCAAAATATAGCTTTATTACCAAACACTCTTTTGTAAGTAGTAACTTAGAAGATAGAAGCAAAATAAAAATACCAGACTGGTTGCCTGGCAGGGCGATCGGTCTGGCATTTTTTGCTAAACTGACTGGCATTTTTTCCTAAATTTCAGTCACCCTTTGCAATAACAACTCATCATATATTGCTGGACAACCATGACGTTATACCCCTGATATTGTACTTCATTTTAACTTGAATAAAAAAATTACTAAAACAATTTACTTAAAAGTTTTAACAAAAATAACTTGAAAAAGTCATTAAATTAAACAAAACAATAATAAAATAATAATAATAATGAGAAACAAAAATGATTATAATAAAAATACCTGAATCGAGAGACCCATAGAAAGTTCTGTTAAATTTTTGTTGTTAAAAAATGAAACAATAGAAGATGCATTCTGGCTAACACCATTTACAATAAATATCAACTCTAAATAGATTTGCTGAGAGACTTCTATCTTACTGAAAATAATCTAAATAATGATTACAAAAACTAAAATTTAATTTATATCAACGTGCAGATTTAGCTGCACTAAATATAATATAATAAACGGTAATTATTGTATATTATCTATATATTATACTGTAAATTAAAAATTAAGGACCTTTGTTTTTTTATTTACGTTTTTTACGGCAAATATTGTTTTTTCTGCGAATATTTGGTAAATTTCTTTGAGACGGAGGGGTACCGCCGCCTATATTTTTTTCTAGAATAGCCCCTATATATATATATATATATATATATATATATATATATATATATATATATATATATATATATATATATATATATATATATATATATATATATATATATATACAGGGGCGGATCCAGAGGGGTTCAAAGGGTGCACCCGTCAACTTTCAACATATAAAGTTTCTTATTTCGTTGCATTTTTTATAAATAAAAATTGAATTGTTAAAATAGTTTATTCAACTCAAATTTCGCGATTTTACTTTTTGTGAAGGAAGTCATAAATAAATAATGACCTTTGTTGTTGTGTAGAACTTTGCATTCAACGCTAGCGTATTTTATATATATTTATGCTTCGACTAGGAAACTCTTGTATAGTCGCTTTCTGATTCGCCTGCTCCCCTCAGAATTATTTTTGATTGGCCTGCACCCCTCAGAAGCTATTTTTGATTGGCTTGGTTTCTTAAGCTAATCAAAACAGATTCTGAGGGATGCAAGCCAATCACGCAAAAATCAGAAAAAAGGTTTTTCACTTAACTTTTGGTTAATTAGAGGTTAAGTGTTCTAAACATGGCAGATTTAATGCTTCAAATCATTTTAAAATGTGATTTAGATGAAAATAGGGTTCAATCAGAAAAGGAATCATTTTTATCTAATGTTATTGTTGAAACTCAGTAAAATTAGAGAAATATTTTTGTTTGATGAAAAATCTAAAGTAAGTATATTGAATAAAATATGCAAAGTTTCAAGTATGCAGTTTCCTGTATCTCAATCATTTCGAGTAGAAAGTGATTTTCAACCAGTGAGGTAATAATTTGTTTCTTAAATAATTATATTAAATTAAAAAAATATATATTATAAAATTTTTATAATAAAATAAAAAAACAAACGAAGTATTTATGTATGTGTGTGTGTTGCGTTGATTAATGGTTAAAATAATAGCAAATTAAGAAATCATGTATAGGCTATACAAAAAGCTATACTATAGATTTTTGTGCTTAAACATTTTACTACAAACTTTTTTATTTGAGCTGAAAGATGTGTAAAATTTTGTTCTAGGTACTTAAATTTAAAAAACCTTTTTTTTAGTAAAACTGTGTTTATGCTTAAGTATATATACTTAAGCATGAACACAATTTTACTGAAACACAAAGTGAAGGCCATTGATAAGTTTAATAAACATGCTGAAAGTTCACCAATTCACCAAACTGCAACTCTAATGAACAAGTCAAGAAAAATAGAGAAATATTAAACCAATAGTTCTGGCAATTATTATGTGTGGAAAACAAAACATATCTCTCCGAGGTCACAGAGATGATTCATTTTACTATGAGAATGAAAATAGTAACTGTAGCAATCTTCAATCAATTTTGATTGAAATTAATATCTGATTGTGCAGAAAACAGTATGGTGAATGGGTGAATTTCTACTCCAAAAAATGCTACATACCCCTAAACTTTTTTCAATATTAGCAGATGAAGCATCTGATGTTAGCAACATGGAAGAAATGCCACTTGTATTACACTTTGTAAATGATAATTGTGAAATTTGTGGACTATTTTTTGGCTTTATTCCTTGCGACTCAGGTTTGTCTGGAGAAGCTATAGCCAGCCAAATTTTGAATAGTATTAAAGATTTGGAATTAGAAATAAAATTTTGTGTTGGTTATGACGGTGCTGGTAACATGGCTGGGAACTGTACCGGTGCTGCAGTAAGAATAAAAACTATTTATCCAAAAGCATTGTATGTTCATTGTGGATCTCATGCCCTCAATCTTTGTGTTGTAAACGCCTGTAACATACAAATAGTTAGCAATATGATGTCAAATGTTTGTGTTATATCTCAGTTCTTTAATTTTAGTCCAAAGCGTTTTGACGTTCTGAAAAAAAAAATTGAAGAAATGTTTCCAAAAGCTCATCATTGGTGTTTATGAGCACAAGCCTTGTACAATAGGAAAACAGCTTAATCAAAATAATTGTCCTAGTGAATCTATTAATGAGTATTACAAGAAAGTTATTTCAATTCCCTTTCTTGACCATTTATAGCAATAGAAAAATTGCTGTTTATAATGGATTCTTTGCAATGCCAACATACGTTTTAAATGTTGCTGAATGGAGAAGCAACTTTCTTCTTTTTTTAAATGAGTATGAGGATACCTTCCGGAACCACGCTATATCATGACCGAATAGAACATGTGGGAAGATTATTGGCATAGTTTTAAAAATTCCCATTCTCTAACCAAACTCCTTACTCTTATTGATAGAATAACTTTTCCTAATATATTTACCTTAATTCAAATTCTTGCAGCTATTCCAATAACAACATGCACTTGCAAAAGATCAATCGTTGTTTAAAAACCTATCTACGTAACACAATGTCACAGAATAGATTTAATAGTCTTGCTTTAATGCATGTTCACCAAGGTATCAGCATTGATGTGAATGAAGTGATTAATTGTTTTGCTAGGAAAAATACTCGTAGAATGAAACTTGTAGATATTTTAAATTCTGATCTAATTTAAACTGTTTTGTTTAATAATATAATATAAATATATTATTTACTGTTTTATATATTTTATAGAGTAATTTAAATAGTGGTCCTAGAAAGTTCTGCAGTTTTTTTTTGTATTTTTTAAGCATGAAATTATACTTCAAAAAATATATACAGCAAAATCTTGTTAAGTCTGACTCTCAAGGGGAATAGATAAATAGTCAAACTTAGCAAATGTCAGAGTTAGGGGAAGTTCTCGGTATGTATAAAAAGTTCAATGGGAATTGAAAATCTGACTTAGTAAAAGTTTGAGTTATCAGGCATAATTATAAAGTTTTCATTATTAATAAATTAGCATTATTGATAGTTAAAATTATAGTTTAATTATGATTAAAGTTAAATTATATCTGGATTTAAAAATAAGTCTGTTATTACATTTTTATTTATATTTTTAGGGAATATCCTTGGAAAAAAATGACCCCAGAATATCATGAAACTTTTATTTTATTACTGTTACATAATTTTGTTTATAAACAGTGTTATATAATGTTATTAAATCTATTCACTATTATTAATGTATTTAGTGTAAAAGTTTATTATTAATGTTATTATTGTTATTACAATTTATAAATAATTATTGTGTATAATTATATATTTTAGGTATATTATGTGCATAAATTTATTATATCATAATATTAATAATTATTTTTAATAGTGAGTTGTAATACAATTGTGTTAAAATTGCAATATAATGTGCATGATACAGGTGTTTTTAGAAGTTAAACTAGATGGTTACTTTATATATTTTCAAGTTTCTGTTTAAAGATCATATTAGAAGCAAATTTTGAGTTTCATTGAAACTAGATTTTTATTAACAGTTTTTTTTCATCAGTTCTTCATTTTGTAACTATTCTACTATTTTTTTTTTAGTTTTCCTACTGTTGAAATATGGTTTTAATTTAGTAAAGTTTCATGATTTAAAATTTACTTTATTGGTCATAAGCTAACAGTTTAGAAAAAGAAATTTAGTAGAGTTAGGGTTAGAAATTTGTTTACTTTTAACATTTCAAAACTGGGTTTTACTGTTCAATTCTTATGCTATTTCTAGTTTATGTTATATTTTTACATTATTCACCTCCCCAAGGCCCGAGGGGGCCACTACAGTCGAGGAGGCTACTCATTTTTTTGTGTTTTTTTTTATTTTTTTTTTTGTTGTATTTCGTGGTACAACCCTCTCTCAACTCTTTAACTCCGAAACACGAACCTTGACAAGCAAGGCCGCTGCACGGAGAAACTAAGTTGAGCGCGGTACTTCCAGGGACGTGGTGGGAGTCGAACTCCGAACCTCTCGCTTACAAAGCGAGCGCTCTTACCACTACACCACTGCCGCATATAATGCCGCATATGTCGTACGAATAATAAATAAATTGTGTGTTCATTGTTTGGGTTCATGAAATTATTGTATCATTATTGATTGATTCTTCGGATAACGGTCAATTACTACCAATAAATAATTACTGCATTACTTTGCATACACAATATTTTTATGTACACAAAATTACTTTCGCACAGTATTCTCGCCTGCTGAATAAACAGGAGAGGAGTTGTCCTAATAATAAGATTATTAGGAGGGTCGGAATCTAATAAATCTAATTAACAGGGGGAGGGGGGAAAGGGGAATTTTAATAAACTGAAGGGTCGTCTTAAAATAGTTTTTTTGGTTGGTTATTCATATTTTCATCTATTATTGAGAGAAATATTTTTCTCAAAGTAAAAAAATTGCAAAAATATTTTATATTGTTTCAAAATTAATAATCAGGGGGGGGGTTCCTAATAATCCCCCGTACTTTATAAAAACCTTTTTTATGAGCACCCCCTTTCATACCCCCCCTCCCTGCAAAGCGCGGGGGGGGGGGGGGGGGGTAATGGAAAAACCCCTCATCGTTGAAGCATAGCACATATTTGCCAGCACCCCTCAAAAAAAAAGCTAGATCCGCCCCTGATATATATATATATATATACATATATAATATGTATATATATATATATATATATATATATATATATATATATATATATATATATATATATATATATATATATATATATATATATATATATATATGTGCAATCAGCAAAGGCCAATTGATGCTAATGATTGGGTTTAATATATATATATATATATAGGTATTATCTTAATATTAGGTATGTAATTTGCATATATAAGGTGTGCCTATGCACCAGTTTGGTTTGGTTTATTAGCCAATGCCAATGCATCAGCCAATGCTGATTAATCAACTGTTGCCATCGCCCAATTATTCTGCCAATGGTTAAGCCGATTAATTGGTTGCTGGTTACCAATAGCACAGGCTAGTAAGTCAAATCACTTCTGATGAATAGGTACATGTTAAACGTGTAATTTAAATCCTTAATATTATTATAATATCCTTAAATACATTAAACCTATTATTAGCCACAATCTGGATTTGCCATCGATACATCACTAATATACAGTATGCAAAAAAAATTATCGTACACTTAAAATAAAATCATAATTTTAAAGATTGAATCAAAAAAATAAGTTGTCTGTAAAAATATTCAAAATTTTTTTTCAGATATCTTATCAATTGTTGTTTCAAGAATTTGTTTGTGTATTGGTGAATTAATTGCTTTTCAAACCTATTGAATTTTACAGAATCGATCTAATGATGCATAAAATTGACTGCAAAAAAAAATAACTGTACAGTTCAAAAATTATGTCAAATTGATCAAATTCCATAGAAATTGGGGGCTTCTTTAGCCTTGATGGCCTCAACTAGACAATTTGGCATTAAGTTTACCAAATTTTGAGTCTCCTGCTGTTATATTATTCCATGCACTCATTATAGCTTCTTTAAAATTGTCTTTGCGTCTAAATGCTCGGTCGCCAATTTTTCTATCCAAAATATACCACAAATTTTCTATTTGATTTAAGTCCAGAATTTGAGATGGCTCTTTTAAAATATTGATGTTATCTATGCCAAAGTATACCTTTGTTTTCTTAGCGATATGTTTAGGATTGTTATCCTTCTGGAGTATGAAATCGCTTCCCATTCTCAATTTTTAAGTATATGGTTGCAAATTGGCTTGGAGAATTTCACAATCCATTGAAGCATCCATTTAGTCATTATTAAATGTAAATTTCCTCACTCCTTTTAAACTCATACTATCCCAAACCATAACGTTTCCTCTTCCATGCATTACACTACCTCGCAAACTTCTCAATTTATAAGCTTCTCCTTTTTTTCGCCACACATTTTGGATTCTATCCAATGAGACAAGATTGTATTTTGACTCATTTTACTACAAAATTTTTTTCCAATATGATATCAGCATTTTTAAGTACTTTGGTGCAAATTCCAGTCAACTTTTTATTTGTTTAGAAGTTAAAAAAGGTTTACTTCGAACCACTCTATATCGCTATATCCTTGTTCTCTTATAAAATTTCTGATTGTTTGAGGAGTCATTGTGATATTATAGTCTTCTTGAACTTGTAAAGCTAATTTAGCTGCCAAAACAAATTTATTTTTCTTCATGTTAATGATGACATTAATGATATTTTGATCAATTGAACTAGTGGTTTTGCATTTTCATTTTCTAACAGCCACACTAGCAACGGTTCAAACAGATAATGCTTTTTAACAATTGAAAAAAATGAAGTTATGCTTTGACACAAATAACATCAATGTTTTGGAATGGCCATCTCAAAGTCCGGACTTGAATCCAATAGAAAATTGGTGGTATTTTTTGGACAGAAAAATTGGCAAACAAGCATTTAGACGCAAAGACAACTTGAAAGAAGCTATAATGAGGGCATGGGATAATACAACAGCATGAGAGACCCAAAATTTGGTCAACTCAATGTCGAACCAATCTAGAAAAAACTTTTAAATACTTTAACAGACAACTCATTTTTTTGATGCAATCTTTAAAATTATGATTTTTTTTTAAGTGTACGATTATTTTTTTTTTGCACACTGTATATATGTATATACTATAGCGTATATAGATAACAAATTTGTACTAGCTTTTACTAGTATATATATATATATATATATATATATATATATATATATATATATATATATATATATATATATATATATATATATATATATATATATATATATATATATATATATATATATATTTGGAAAAACAAGCATTAACAGAAATAGGGAAAACCAAAAAATAAATCTAAATCAAATGGATTTTAGGTTCAGCCAATAATTTTAATATTGTAACAAAATATATAATGTAACTATTATTACGTAAAAACATACCTTAGCTTTGAGAAGCGAGTTATTGTAAAATTGATTATAATACACTGTTAAGTTGTTTTCAAAATAAAATTGATTGAGTGGAAGTGAAAGGTTGTTGCTTGCTGACTCAATTACTATAATTCCTACAACATCACTAAGTCGATATGGCATAGTTGTAGGTACAGAAACTGAAACTGGGCCATTCACCTAAATGTATGAAAAAACTTTATAAAATTAAGTCTCTACTGACAGTATCATACCCAGTGATAGTTTGGGCAGTACTGGTTGTAAAATTCCCCCTCCCCCTCCACACACTATTTTTTTAAAATAGTTATGTATTTAAAAAGCCTCTACTGTGTATGGATTTTTTTAAGTGGTTTGTTTTATTCAGTTGTGTTTTTAAATGTCTTAAATATGTATTATAAACATTTAATTTTAACTTTAAAGAAATACTTGAAAATTTTTTTTTTTTTTGCAAACTGATTCATTACGTAAAAACTTCAAGATTTTAACATTAAGACATAAAGAATTAATATGTGTAAAAGCAACCATAAAATTTCATTTTTTGTTTTAAGAAATGAGAAATGTTTTTGTTTAAGAGAATTTATTATGTTATGTGTAAAAAATTATGTTATGTGCAAGCAAGTTTCATTCAATGAAAGAACAGGTTGAAAACTTGTATGCAGTTCACAAGGACAAGATTTGTTGGTAAAATTGATACTTATGCTCCTCTGTCTATTTTACAGGTTTTGAATATTTTGCATCAGCTACAAGTTTACAACATGTACCGTCAACAGGAGTGACTATGAACAGTGGGTTGAAAATGAACATCAGTATCAAGTTTGCTAAAAGGTGAAGAAACACATGCAATAGAGCTATATGTGTTACTTTGATTCAGTCGCAAAACTGAGCTGGTAAAACATCTTTAAGCAAAATAAAAGAACCTGGTGGTGAAGACACTGTAATGGTTCTTAATAAAATCATTTTAGATATTTCAAGAACAAAGCTTAGGCACAAATCTATTTGCAAAACAAATCTCCTCATAATCTAAAGAATAAAACATTATGAAGTGTCAATATCATCCCGATTGGCTAATCATTACTCTCACACCATTTTAAAAGTACAAATATGATCATATAAAGTAAAAAAAAAAAGATAATTACTGCATAATGTTGATTAGGCCGATAACTTTTCCAGGAAGCTGGACAGTATAATGTTCTGTTAAAAAAAATATAGTGATTAAGCTAACAGTTTTCTTCTTTAATGCAAAAATGTTTAAAAAGTGCTTATAATCATTCTGATTGACAATAATTTACAAGGTTGCAACATCATGTTGCAAACTTTTTGATTACATGTTGTAAACTTGTGCAAACTAGTTTTTGAAATGATTTGTTGAGCATGTTAGTAGAAAAAACTAGTTTGCAACATTTATATTGTCTTACCAACTTTGAATAACTCAATTGTCATAATAAATTTTAAAGTGATTTTTTTTTGATCAAAAATATTCTGAACTTGTTTAAAATTTAGTGCAATTAATTAACATCATTTATAGTTGGTGCAGTCCCCTTTATATATGTATATATATATATATATATATATATATATATATATATATATATATATATATATATATATATATATATATATATATATATATATATATATATATATATATATATATATATGTATATGTATATGTATATATATATGTATATATATATGTATATATATATATATATATATATATATATATATATATATATATATATATATATATATATATATATATATATATATATATATATATATATATATATATAGTTTAGCAAAAATTGGAGAGAGTTCTAGAGAAAACTTTTTAAGACTATGATGGAAATCTTTTCTGAAGCACAAACTGTAGAATTGTTTAATTGAAAATTAACTTTAGCATTGGAAGCTAGAGTGATTTAGATGTTTAACAATGGGTTAACCTGTTTAACTGGTATGACAAGTAGAATATGGCCTTTAGATTCAAGAGTCAAGTTAGAGAAAAAGTTCTTTCCAAATAACTATACCCTATTCAAGTGGTAGTTAAAAATATCAGATTCATGAATAAGAGATTAAATGTTAGACACTTTAATTAATGACACTGTTGAAGACTTTCCAAAAGTCTTTAGAACCTAATATTTAAAATAAGATACAAGATTTAGTAAGCTGAAAATAACAGAGCTTAACATTGGACAGAACCTTTTTACATTGGCTTCTTGCAATAATAAAAGGATATTTGTTCTTAAGAAATGATCTTGTAAAAAAGATGGAGAAAATGATTACGGTTTAATAAAGCAACTGCATAAAATGGTGAAAAATGTGGAATAGAATGAGGCTTGACTTGAAACTAAAGAAAAGGAATAAAAGCTTCCAAACCTTTATTCCAGATGAAATAAAAGCTTCCAAGATGCGCATTTATGCATACTTAATGTGGATATAAACATATATGTTTGCTTTTTATTTAGATGCTGGCATACAATATCCTTTTATATTTATATAAACTGTAGTATTTATATGGTGTAGTATTTGCCAAAAGAGAAGATGATCAGATGCATGTGTGTTGTGACTCTTACAAGACAAGAAAAGAAGGCATAATCTTAGACAAAAAAAAACGTATCGAACAACGTTTGTTAGGGAAGATTAAAGTGTATCAGCACATAAAGAGGTAGTAGTTTCAGGAGAAAATGGTACTGGTAGAAATAAGAAAACTTTAAGAGAATGTCTTAAATATTGTATGAATGAACTTTAGTTAAGAAAAAAATAAGCTCGAGATTGTCCATATTAGAGAAACAGCATAAAAGAGGAAGGATAAAGCCTGATGATGATGATGATAAAGATCATTATGATGATGATGGTAAGGAGGATCATTATGATCATGTTGATCATATAACATGAATTTTAAATTTTAAAAATATACTTTAGGATGTATGCAGTCCTGGTCACAAACCCGGCCCCAGCTATATTTCATCAAACCCAGCCCCTGCCCTGGTCAAATTTCAACCTGGGTCGCTTACTACCACTACTATAACTATAGTAATAAAATGTAATGTACAGCTAAAAAAAAAAATTTCATGCGTTTGTATGTTTTTATTTAATAATGTTGAACTTTATTAATATTGAAATTTATTAACTATGGAATTTTTATTTTGGGTACCCATAACAGTCAAGCAGTATGGGATTACGTCAGGTACAACACTGACTAATAATATTATTATTATTGATTTGTAGCAAATAATTTGGTCAATAATTAAATATTAAATTAAAAATAAATTTATACCAACAAAATATATGTATAAAAAAAATTTACCTTATAACCTAGTTTTCTACTAAGTCCAGACTCACTTAAATAATTATATACAGAAGCAACATCAGATGCCTTTAAGTAAGCATTATCCTCAGCTATACTAAACTCAACTATAACTTGTTGTCCAATTCTTTGAGTTTTTTCAATCTAATGGTAAAATCTAAAAGGCTGTAGTTTACAAAAATCATAAATTTTTTTAAACACTGAACAATATTTGCATAACCTAATATAAACATAAACTCATATAAAAAAGATTTTATGACAAGATATAAAAAATCGAACACCACTTTTATAAAAAATTTATTGATCTTATAACACCATTTACAAAAAAAGTAACCACATTTTATAATAGTTTTTATTTATTATATATATATATATACATATATATATATATATATATATATATATATATATATATATATATATATATATATATATATATATATATATATTACTTTTAAAAATAAGTTTTTTTTTTTCATTTTATTTATCAAGACATGTTTCGACTATATATAGTCATCATCAGTTAAAATATATTTGTTAAAAACGGTATAAAATATAGTATATAATTGTAAAATTAACATAATAAAAGCCATAAAATTGTAAACAAACTTCCTATATATACATGAAAGATTTATTAAAAATTATTTTAACAAATTCATATCAGGTTTTTCCCATCCTATATGAATGCTTTCTTTAATTAATTCAATTTTATTTTTAGCACGATCCAAAATCGAAAAGCATTCATCATTATAATTTTAAAAAATTTTTCTTTTGAGTGAAGAATCTTATAAATAATTTTTATCCCTTCTGTAGAGTTCAATCACTCTTTAGATGGTGAGAGATTTCACCAATATAACAAGATTTATATCCTGCACAAACAAATTTATTTGTTTGGGCAGGATGTAAATCCTGTTATATAGGAAGTTTGTCTACAATTTTATGACTATTATTATGTTTATTTTAACAATTATATACTATATTTTATATCGTTTTTAACAAATATATTTTAAATGATGATGACTATATATAGTCGAAACATGACTTGATAAATAAAATTATTTTAAATAAAATTAAAAAATTTGTCTTATTTTTAAAAGTAATATCACATTTTCTGCTGAAAAGAAGTTTTGGTAATATATATATATATATATATATATATATATATATATATATATATATATATATATATATATATATATATATATATATATATATATATATATATATATATATATATATATATATGTTTAGCAAAAAAAATTATTTTAACAAATATAAGTAAAAAGTTCCAGGTAACAAAAGAAAAAAACTATTCAAACTAAGATAAGTAAAATATATTTATTAGTTAACTTTTGACAAATATTTTAAATTTTTCTCTAACACAGAAGGCCTTTCATATAAAATCTTAAAGATTTTATATGAAAGGCCTTCTGTGTTAGAGAAAAATTTAAAATATTTGTCAGAAGTTAACTAATAAATATATTTAACTTATCTTAGTTTGAATAGTTTTTCTTTTGTTACCTGGAACTTTTTACTTATATTTGTTAAAATAATTTTTTTTGCTAAACATATATATATATATATATATATATATATATATATATATATATATATATATATATATATATATATATATATATATATATATATATATATATATATATATATATATATATATATATATATGTATATATATATATATATATATATATATATATATATATATATATATATATATGTATATATATATATATATATATATATATATATATATATATACATATATATATCTATATATATATATATATATATATATATTAAGTTGATAAGAAACTTAATAAAATTAAAAGTTTTGCTATTATACATACCATAGCAGTAATATTATTAATTGAGACAGATCTTCTTTTTCTTTTATTAGCAGATTTTAAACTTATAAATGTTTCAACCAACTTTCTTTCAAGATCTTTTCTAAATTCATTAGAAGTAACATCTACTGATTCATTTATATTCAATGAAATTCTTACCACAATATCAACTGGGATCAAAGTAGTTCCTGGCTTTGTTGTAGTTATAGGTAATGCGGAGGAATATATTGAAAATGATTGTGTTGTTTGTATGGATAAGTCTGTAACTAATGTGGTAAAATTTCTTGAAGTAGTTGATGAGTTAATTATTGTGGGGTTAATAAAGCTTGAAAAACTTGATTCAATAATTGTGTAAGACATGCAAACTATAGTTTCCAAGAATGTTGCTGATATCATTGATGGTATCCAAGTTACATTAGTTGGCTCAATGAAGGAAACAAAATCTGTTGAAGTTGCAGTTGAGTCAATATCTGAATATGATGATCCAGAAATTAAAGAAGCTAATTCTACTGAGGATCCTATCACACTTGAAAAAATATCAACTGAAGCTAGAGTATTAGGAATAGAGGTTATTGGAGTATTAGGCAAAGTAGAAAGTTGCATAGTGGTTTGATTAAAAATGTTTTGAATACTCTGTGATGTCATAAGATTATCCGAAAAAACAAAAACAGTATTTTGTGAACTAAATTCTAAAGCACTAAATAAAGGAACAATATTCAAAACACTTGTTGCAGTATAAGAAATTTCATTTGTCATTTTTTTGCTTGATATATCATCTAATATTGAAGAAGTTACTTGTAATGAATAACCATCTGTATTAAACCAAACAGTATTGGGTGTAGAAACCAACACAGTATCAGTAAATTTATTAGATACATCACTTGTTAAATAAATGTCTAATGAATTTAGAACAAGAGTAGAGTAGTAAATCAAGCACATACTTAATGTAGCTGTAAAAGATTGATTGGGCAATATAACATCTTTAGAAGAATTTATTATGAATTCAGATTTCACATAAGAAGACTCCACATTTGTTGTATCTGCAGTTGAAGGAAAAGATTGTGTAGGCTGAATCATACTTTTTAAATCTTGGCTGACAGTACTAAAATTAGATTGGTCATAAACACTATTGGTATCTGTTTGAGCAACAAATGATGTTGTCCAACAAGGAACATAGCTAGACATAATTACGGCAGTGCAGACAAGTGAAAATGATGGCGTTATCATTGCAGAAAAGCTGCTAATACTTGATTGTTTAGTGCCAATAAAGTTTTCAGAAGCAATAAAAGAAGTTTCCAAAACTGTGCTAAAATAAGAATTATTAAAATTTGAAGTTAAAATTGCATTAGTATTTATATAGGATGGAAGCAAAGAGCTATTCATTTGCAATACTGTAACATTAGTGACACTCTGTATATTTTGGCTGGTCATTATAGTCACATTATGATTTATGTTAACAGTATAAGAACTACTAAACCCTAATGAATGACTGAAAATATGATCAGAACCAAACATACTAAAATTTGATGAAAACATAGCAGGAGTTCTTTCTACTAATGTACTGTTTAGTACATCCAATGTAGAACTTTGCACTATTTTAGAACTATTACTATTTAAGGAGTAAAAAACACTTTTGACTGGAAGAGAGTTTAAAAAAGATTCTGCAGCTTGTGTAGTAAACAATCTTGAAAGTGTTAGGCTGCTTGTACTTTTTGTTGAAACACTAATTGAATCTGAAATGCTAGATTTGCTTCCAAAACTGGTAAGTACTTTGTTTGAATTAAACTCTAACGAATTACTTAAAATAGAGACAGAGTTAAATATATTAGTCTTTGATGGAAATATTAAAGTTGGAGTTTTATATATTTTTGAATTATTTAGTACATCCAATATAGAACTTTGTATCATATCAGTAATACTACTGTTTACAGAATATAAAATACTTTTGTTTACAATAGAACTTGAAAAAGATTTTGTTGCATAGATATAAGAAAACATTGATTTGTTCATATTTATTGTTGAAACACTATCTAAAATACTAGATTCGATACCAACTCTATTAGTTATATTTAAGGTTGAAATATCGCTAAACATTTTTATAACAGAACTAGATTGAATAAAGGTGCTAGAGATACTATTTGCTGTTGCAGTTCCTTCAAGCAGTGTTTTAGAGGAAAAGTTAAATATTGAAGCAAAAACGATGTCTGAATTAGTAAACAAATTAACAGGATTTGTTGTTCTACTGACTGAGTCAAAAAAATTAACAGTCTTTAATTCTTTAGTTAAAAACAATGTTTGATGTGTAGTTTTATCTGATTGAATCACTTCAGATTCAGAAAGAATAGAACTATGCAAATAAGCTGATAAGTTTTTCAGGTAGGTAGTTTTTTCAACTAGCAAAGATGAATACATTATAGAAGATGAATCAGGTAAACTTAACAATATTAAACTTTCGGAAATTCGACTTGTCATTATAAAGTGAGTTGGTGTGGAAAACAATCCATTTTCCAAAAAAGTTGTGTTCACTAATTTTGATCTAATCTCAGTATTATGTTGAATTGTAGACTCTTGTGATAAGGTTGGTTCAATTATCAGTCTAGATGTAGAAAAAAAGCTTGTGACTGAATTACCAAACAATCCAGTTATAGTACTCAAAAAATTTAATGTAGTTTCAGAAACCAAAAAACTTGTTGATCTTGGTGAATCTTCAATGCTAAATACTTTAGTTACAAATGGGGTCATTGAAAATAACAATGTTGAATTTATTACATGAGAATATACTACCTCTGAATGTGTTAAATTGTTTATCTGTGATACCAAAGATGAATCAGAGCTAATTGAATCTGATAGCATTAATGCTGAACCAACAATTGCTTAAAAAAATTAACAAAAGACACATGTTATTTGACTAAAACATTTAGTTTTTATGGGTATTCTATTTTTTATAATAAAAACAGTGCAAACCTAAGCTATATTGGCATGCAAATTTCTATTAATCTTTCAAAACTCTACAACACATAAATTAGTGTTGTTCAAATGCTCTTTATTTTCAATAAAATATGTCTTTATTCCTAAAACTTTCTATTAACTCTCACTAGCAAACCTGATACATTTTTTAAAATTTAAATAGATTTATAAAACTAATTAACTAAAAAACTAATTTAATAATAAAAATACAAACATGAAAATAAACTTAATACTACATTTACTAAAAACTTTCTATTAGGAATTAACTAATTAAACAGCAAACAATAGTAAACTATTGTAAAAAAACACCTAGAAAGAGTATTATTTAGTAACATTTAATTACATAACATGCCAATTGTTGATGTTTTAAATAACTAGGGAAAAAATAGAGTAATTTTTATAATAATTTTTACATACACTATTTATAAAGCCAAATAACTTTTTGTTGTTGTTAAGATTTTTTTTCTGACTATTTTCTAAATGTTAAAAAAATTAATTTCATAAAAAATCACTTAAGCTAATCAGAAAATTATTAAATAATGTAAAATGTAATAATATTTAAAAATCTCATTATATTTACTTTATTCAATTTTATTATGGGTTTCTCATAACCCCATATTCTTTGAAACAAACTTTTTTGTTTAAATGGATAATTTTTGACAACCGATAATTATGTTATACATATAATAAAATAAGGAAAAAAAAACATTTTACCCTTAAAAATGTACTGAAACAAAGTGATTATTTTGTTTAAACTTCTTGTTTCTTCCTAATTCTCTAAAATATTGATAAGCTTTCTAATCATCTAAAATATTAGGAATCTATTAAAAATTTAAGTGTGAGAGGATATGTTTAAAATTTGTTTAAAGGGAAAACGTTAAGAGGTCATTCCATTGAAAATAAATTTCAAGTTGATTCTAAAAATAACGAGCTATTAATACCACTTAATGAGATATTCAATTCTTACCATAAGCTGACATTATAAAGATATGCCTAATGAAGCACATACAATAAGGATAATAGCTTTTCATTTCAGAGTTGAATATTTCACATTCCTTTTAAGTCATAATCTAATTTGTTATATGTCGCGCAACATAATTAGTATTAATGTAAATCATTTCCTTAGAGCTACCCGGTCAGACTACCCGGTCAGACTAGACTTACGCGAAACCGCAAATATTCAATTAATTTTATATTTTTTAAACGTGGTGAATGTGGCCATTCAAAAAAACTATTCAATCGCGTTTGCTTGGAGACAATATTTTTGTTGCCAAGTATCATTTTAATCCTTTTAAAATAATAAAAAATAAATAATCAGAATAAATCGTTTATTATTAAAATAGTTATCACTTAATATATTCAACTTGAACATATTTTTTGTCTGCATTTTACAACTTATTTTAAGCTGTTTATTTTAAAAAGACTGTTAAATTTTATATATTTTCTTTGAGATAAAAAAAGAATTATAATAAATCCGCAGAAGGGTATTTATAGCGCTTTATTAAAAGAGTTAACGATTTATTTTGTTTTAAATAGCAAAATTGTGACGCATTAAAACCGTTAACGGGATACTAAACTGTGTTTAAAAACCAAAAATTAGCTAAAGAGTTAAAATACTCACGTGCACAATATTTAATTTAAAGTTTTTATGTTTCAAAAATTTTCTTAACTAACAAAGTTTTACACGTTAAAAGACTATTCTACGCTATAGAATTTTAACAAAAAAAGTAATATCAATTTTTTTAATATACTCACTAAATAAATTATTTTGGCAGTCGTATTCTAGTTTTGTATAAGTAATTGTAATACACATATAAGTTTCATTATAGCACATTTCTTTGGTATATAGTACAGTTTTAGATGTACAAGTTGTCTTGATTACTACATGAGAGCTCAAAGTATATACATGTTGAATTGATAATTTCATAAAAAATGTGACAATTGGAAGCAAGCCTAAAAAAAAATGAAAAAACAAACATTTTTTGACTTTGAAAATTGTATAAACAGTAGTATATATATATCTGGGGGTGGGTGGGGGTATATGAAAATTTAAAGTGGAAAAAAGTAGTTATGTAAACATCCATACTCTCAAGTTTGGTTAAAGTTTATGTACAATAATATTATTGCCCATTTTGGGGCTGCTTTCGACTCAATAGTCAAAAAGATTAAACGGCACTTTCTTTCAAATTAATTATTGTTCTACTTTTACCGCACTTAGCACAGTCTGTATAAATAGTCTAAAGAGGAATGATTAATATACTTATGTTAGATTAACATGGCAAAATATCAAAAATTTTAATTTCATTCTCGGGAGATCAGTTTTAAAGATTTCGCTGAAAAATACTTTCAACTAGCAAGTTTCAAATAAGAGTTTCTTTACTTTAAACATAAAATTTTTTTAAATAATGTTATTAAAAAAGGAAAAAGTACAAAAGGAAATTTAAAAAACCTTTTTTCGATTTTTCAATTTTACAAAACAAAATTAAAGTCATTGTTTTGAAGTTTGTTATTTTTAGTTTCTAATTTAAGATTTAATAATTTAGTTGCATTTGTAAATAAGTGTAAGTAACAAGAAATCGAAAAGTATAATTAAAGATGAAAGAAATTAAATATTTTAGCAAGTAATAAAAAATGAAATTATTACTAGTCAATCATTACGCAAAATGTCTTGTTACTTGTTAGGGATTAAGTTTTGCTCAATACATTTTTTAAAAATAATAACGTAATAAAATTCCTTACAAAAGCAAAAATCACAAGAGTTATTTCAAAACTGTGTGTTTTCTATGATTACATAAATGTAAAATAAAACTAACAACATTTAATATGAAAAAAAAACACAAACTTGTTCAAAATAGATTGGATTTTAATTATGAAAAGGTTCCAAGTTGCACGAAAAAATAAATCAAAGTGACAAATATGTTTTATTGCCTGAGCTGTTTAATTTTGATTCACCCACCGACTCAAAATACTCTGAACTGTGAATGTTTGATTTAAAAGTTTGGAAAACAAAAACCTAATGAAAAATATCCAGTATTTAAAAAACAATCAAAAAATAATACATGCTCATCGTCTCTTCTGTTACAAACTGAAAAATGAAACACAAAGTGCTTATCAATTATTGGTCGAAGTTGAAGTCATTTCTGTACTGCTGGCAAAAAACATCAAAGTTTTCCAACTTTGGTTTTAAATGATTCACTTGGAGCTTAACAAATTGCTTTATCACCCATTGCCACAAAGGAAAAATTCCCTTATGGTACAAAACGACTCAGCCAGGTCAATGGTGAAAAATAGTAATTCCAGGTAAGATTTTTTGTTAAAAAATTCTAATTCTTTATGTTTGTCTTTATTTTAAATTATAAAAATAAAAACATTTTTTAAATACTGCGACTCTTTGATTATCTTAGGATAGTCAAAAACACGACCATCGCTTAGCTCAGTTCTGGCCTTTCAAACACCAAAATGAGAAAAATGAGAAAAATCCAAAAAAAACTTAGCGGCAGAGTAAAGAAACTATCCGAGTTCTTTGTGTTCACAAAAGTTACATTTTTAAAGAACGTGAGACAGTAGCAGAAAATTCAGATATGTTCCATTGCAAAAACTTGAAAGAACTAAGCAATCGTGTTCTTCTTGAAAGAGAATACTTGGTAGATAATCTTTTAAAGATCTTTTAATTGGTGGTGGAGGATCATTTTTGAAAACAAGTCTTAGTTAAAAGAGGTTATAAGAACACTCGGCAGATCGAATCACAACAGAGGTTTTTAACCTCTGGATCAAATAAAAGCAAATCCTTGGATTTGCTTTTATTTGATTCAACAATGTAGTAGAAGCTTTTTTGATAACTAAAGACTCTGAACATAACTAAAGACTCTGAACTCGTTTTGGATTTAATCTCTTCAATGGAGATTCATCTTCTTTTAGAGGTTGTTAACTAACAAATCAAGAAGCATCTACAGTGTTGGGCAGAAACAGGAGACTGGCCTGAAAAACTAAACATTCTAATGTAGCCTCAATTCAACAGGAAATGAGAAAATTATCCAATATAGAATGTTGACTTGCATTAAAGAATGGCAGAAAAAACTAAATAGTTTAAGCAGTCCAGAGTCAGACCGTGGCGTTCAATGAATTCCAGAAGCTATTAAACGCCACGCTCCTTCATCTAATTATTCATCAGACAGACAGCAGGAGGATTGCAGTCATTATTAAAAGATCACTGGAAAAGATATAAAAAACCCTATCTTGATTACGGATCTAAGATTTTTCAATGGATTGTCTACTTCAACAGCAAAAATTTATAAAGTCATTTAAGAAAACTTTTAAACATAAAATGGTAATAAATCATATATTATTATGTTGGTGTTGCGCAGTGGAAATTTATTTTATTACTTCTCTCTTGTTGGGAACATTTTTAAAACTTTTTTAAAAATTCCCTATTTAAGGTGTTTTTAAGCAAAATATAACTTAATATCTCCCGAGGACAAAATTATATATGCAAAATATCAACAGATTTTGATATCTAAACAGATGATAATTAAATCTACCATATGTCATTCCTACATTGAGTTTTCATTGGAAATCCTAAACCGTGTTAAACCTGATTTATAAAATCGTGTAGGCAGTTTAACTGAATTAACCGAAATATCAATTTATACTGGACTCATCGCTATAGTTTATACTGGACTCATCGCAAAATGTATAAACTTAAAAAATGAATTTATAATATAAAAAAAAATCAAAAAGCAAGTGGCAGAGTTCAGGAAAAGAAGGATTTAAAAAAAGATTTTTCAAAAATATAAAAATATCCTTACGGTATCTAGACATGATCGGCGTTGATTTTTTTATCACTATCATTTTTGTAGCATTTTTATAGTTTTCGCTTGTTTCTTTTCTTGTTTTCTTTTTTTTCTTTTTTTATTAATAGTATTTAGAAAATTTGCTTCTGCATATTAACTTCCTTACGCTTAGCAACCAATTCTTTATAAACAACAAAAGTTTTAATATTTAAAAGGTTTTATTTATATTATCACTAAGTTTTTTGTAAAACTTTTGTAAAGCGTAAACAAAGGCAATAAAATTCTCTTGATAAAGAGAATTCCCACATAGAAATTGTCAATTTGAAGGAGGGAATTTTAACTGTAATTTGAGAAATATAAATTTAAAAAATGGTGCGTAAAGTTTGCTCGAACTAAATTCTCTGCAAAATTATGCAATAAACTTTGGTTTACATTACAAAACTTTAGAGTTAAAGAATTATATGCAAACAATCTGAGGCTTATGAAAATATTTTGCTTAAAATTAGTTCCGTATTAAGTATTATATTATTTTTTACGTATTCTTACATTTTTGCGATAATGGATTGACTGGGTTCAGTCACGTTAAGTTCGTAAAGGGTCAAAAATTTCAGTAATAAAGTTTAGACAAACGCAGTCGACTTTAAAATGAAAAAGGTTTTTTTTCGGATGGTTCCAACAATATTTTCTTATAAAATAGTAATTTTTTTAACTTCTATTTTTTATGCAAAGATTTTTTTCTTTTGTTGGAAATGTATGAAAAATATGATAAATTTCGGCAACAAGAAATTTCAAACAATTTTTACAGTCAAGTAAAAAAACCGTAAACTAAATTATTATTTTAGAAAGTTTGTTTTTAATAAATTTATTTTATATAAAGTTAAATAATTCTATAAAAAAATTACGTTGTACAATACTTCGTTATTTAAAAATATTTTGTTGTTTTTTGAAAACAGTTTTGTTATTTCTTTAAATATTTACTTTTTTTTGTTTACATATTTTTTTAAATCTATTTGTTTACATTGTTTACGTTTTTTTTTTCTATCAATTTAAATATATATATATATATATATATATATATATATATATATATATATATAATATATATATATATATATACACATATATATATATATATACATATATATATATATATATATATATATATATATATATATATATATATATATATATATATATATATATATATACATATATATATATATATATATATATATATATATATATATATATATATATATATATATATATATATATATATATATACATATATATATATATATATATATATATATATATATATATATATATATATATATATATATATATATATATATATATATATATATATATATATAAATATACATATATATATATATATATATATACATATATATATATATATATATATATATATATATATATATATATATATATATATATATATATATATTTGAATGTAGACATCATGTATGAGAGTATGTAAATTATTATTTTATAAACATCAATAAATACGATTTTCTCTCAATACTAAATTTATTTTATATTTTTTATTTTTTAAAAGAAATTTTCGCTGGATTGTTGTAACCAGCCTCTTCAGCTTAAAATATTTTGTTTGTTTTTGTTTATATGTTATTTTTAAACGGCAATTTTATTATATGTCAATGGAATGGTTTCGTCTTTTTCTGACGTAAGTGCATTAGAAATGGTGTCCAGAATTTTGTTGACACATATTGTCCCTCATCTAAATTGATACCACTTTGTTGAGGGGCACATTGGTGGTACTGTATTTCAAGCGCCTCACGAACTTTCCTATTAAACTTTTTGTTATTGACTTTTAGAGTTCTGCAACTGTCCCAGTTAATTTGTTGTGCACAATGTTTCATGTGTGTGGCTAATGCTGATCTTTCTGTTATATTTCCTATTGTACTGTTTTTGTGTTGTTGCATACGTGTTTTTATTTGCATTTTTGTTTCACCAATATACTTTTTGTTACAATGGCACTTAATAAGGTAAACTCCTGGGTGGCTGTTCCTTTGTATTTTGGATTTATTTCTTGAAGTCAATAATGCTTCTAGGTTTAAGTTTGACTTGAAGACCGTTTTATATCCTGCCTTTCTAAACACTTTACGCAATTTGGGAGACAATATTGGTACCCAAGGTAATGAAATTGTTGGATACGTACTGGTGATGTTGTCAATGTTTTTAGTAGTCACTAGAGGTTTTTTGTACTTTCGTTTTATTTCTTTTATGATTTTTATGAGATTGGAATATTTTTAACCATTTTCGATAAATACTTGAATTAGGAATTTCAGTTCATTTTCTATATGTTTCTGACTGCATACATTAAATGCTCTATGTACAAAACCCTTGAATATTCCATTTAAAACTTGTGGGTCATGGTTTGATGTTGCCTTAACTTGAATGTTAGTAATTGCATTTTTTCTGTGTATTTTAATTTCGTATTTGCCATTTTTGTTATTTATTATGCGTAAGTCTAGAAAACTTAGTGTTTTTTTGTCATTTTCAAATTCGATTGTATATTGTATTTTTGGATGCTGTTGGTTAAGTATTGTCTTGAATTGATTAGTCTGGGCAATGTTAGGGACTCTAGAATGGCTGTCATCTACGTATCTATAAAATGATTTTATGTCAATAATCGGGTTGGTTTTTAGCGCTATATTAAGCGCTCTTTTTTCAAGATTTTGAAGAAAAGATTCAGGTAAACTACCATAAAAGAAAGACCTATTGGACCTGAATTTTCCAGTTCATGTATTTCATATTGTTTACATATTTTTTTAAATGTATCTGTTTACATTGTTTACGTTTTTTTTTTTCTATCTATTTAAATATATATATATATATATATATATATATATATATATATATATATATATATATATATATATATATATATATATATATATATATATATATATATATATATATATATATATATATATATATATATATATATATATAGTTTTTAATAAAACTCCCTCAAACCCCTCAACAAAGTGGTATCAATTTAGATGAGGGACAATATGTGTCAAAAAAATTCTGGACACCATTTCTAATGCACTTACGTTAGAAAAAGACTTTTTTACGTTAGAAAAAGACGTTAGAAAAAACCATTCCATTGACATATAATAAAATTGCCGTTTAAAAATAACATATAAACAAAAACAAACAAAATCTTAAGCTGAAGACGCTGGTCACAACAATCCAGCGAAAATTTATTTTAAAAAATAAAAAATATAAAATAAATTTAGTATTGAGAGAAAATCGTATTTATTGATGTTTATAAAATAATAATTTACATACTCTCATACATGATGTCTACATTCAATATATATATATATATATATATATATATATATATATATATATATATATATATATATATATATATATATATATATATAGGGGAAAGTGGGGCAACATGGCGAGCGTTTTGAAAGGCCTGAGTTATTGCAAAACTATCAGTCGTGAAGCAATGATACTTTCTGAGTATGTTTATGTTATTAAAATGATTTATTGCCTGCATAAATTTTCCGTTTACAAATATAACAATTTGAAATAAATATTAAAATAAAAAGTTCATAAATTTGTCATCTGATCACGTGACCGGGGCAAGATGACTTTTTATTCAATTTTTACCTCCAATTTTATAAAATTTTAAAAACTACCAATAACTCTAACTAAAGTAACGAAAAATAAACACAAATCACCAAAAACTACTTCTAAAGAAGTTAAACTTGAAGGACACCATCCGTTATAAGAAACCGAAAGTGAGGAATTTTTTTTTAGGCGCAAAAAGTAAACTTATGCGTATAAAATTGCGTTAGTAATATTTCAAAATACCAATTGGTATTTTAAAATACAAAATGCAAATACAGTTTCATTTTCACCCATTTTTAAGATTTTTTGTTGAGTTGTTATATGAAAACCCATCTTGCCCCATTCGCCATGTTGCCCCGCTTTCCCCTGTATATATATATATATATATATAATATATATATATATATATATATATATATATATATATATATATATATATATATATATATATATATATATATATATATATATATATATATATATATATATGTATATATATATCTATATATATATATATATATATATATATATATATATATATATATATATATATATATATATATATATATATATATATATATATATATATATTATATATATATATATATACAGTACGTCCATAATTATTCGAAAGACAAACTTTAAAAAAATGATAATTTAATAATTTTTTATGTTTATTTTTGCATTTTAGATAATTTAATAAATATTTTTATATTTATAATTGATTTAACAATGCATTTTTAAGTTCTGTAGCTTAACGATATATTGTTGCAAACAACTTAAAAAACATTTCACGTTAAAACAAAATGGAATATTTTGCATATGTAACACTTGTATATTTTTAAAAGATAGTTCTTCTAAAAAGATTTATTCAGAAATGTTAAAGCAACAGAAAAGACAAAAGACAAGTTGATATTCATTTTATAGTTTATAAAGCTAAATAAATATTTATACAGACAATATGTATAAGAAGATTTTTTAATTTTATTATTCTGTACGGAGAAAACTACACTCGAAAATCTAAAGAATAAATGAAATAAATGAACCTTGATAATCAAGGCTGAAAAAAAAAAAAAAAAGATTACGAAACAAAAAACGACTTACAAAAAAAAAAATCTTTTCATCAAAGACTTTTTATTTGCTGTAGTTTGGTTTAAATATTTACTTTGTACTTCCACTTAAGTGATAAAAAACAGATTTGGGTCTCCAAAAATACAACTTAGTAGGAATCAAAAACAATTAAAAGGTTCAAAATATATTCTGATTATATAAGTTAAATAAAAGATAAATCTTTAGAAACTGTTTAGTGTAGATTTCTATTTTTCTCTAAAAAATCTCATTTTACTTTCATTTTATTGCTTATGTTTTATCAGTAAAAATAGATTTAATTTTGTGTAATATAATTTTTTTTTTTTTTTTTTTTTTTATTTGCATTCACTCCCAACAAGGCTGCAAGCAACCACTATTAAGTTGGGAGTTACTAGGAAAAAAAAAGAACAGAGTTATAGAGCAAGGAAACGGTTGACAGAAGACTTGAAAAGTTGAAGGTTGTAGGAGTCAGGAAAACATGAAGATGGGAGAGAGTTCCAAAGGATTGAAGTGCGGGGAAAAAAAC